TTTGATTGGTAGTGATGTCTTATTAAGTATCTAACTGAATAGTGAGGTTGGAAGTAATGGGAACTTGTCTGTGAAGAGAGATGTTTCTATGACACTAAACCCTGAAAGCCATTAACCCTGTTTGTGGTTTAGAGGTTAGGCGATAAAGTACCATTGCTTCTAAAGTATTTTAAAGGTTCTTGATTTCCCCCACCCTTATTGTTTTGGCCTTCTGGCTAGGTTTTAATAAGGTTATTATAAGGTTGGATTTTGTGTGTGTGTATGTGTGTGTGTGTGTGTGTATGTGTGTGTGTGTGTGTATGTGTTTTCAGTAACTTCATCATCAAATACTGTCTCATAAGAAAATGTATTTGACTTTGCCAGAGTGAGCAAGGTCAGATTCCATCTTTGCCAACTTCGAGAACTCTGAGACACTATAAGAACGAGCTTTGCTTTTAACCCTTGTTTGGCCAAAATGGGACTCCTGGTTTTCGACAGGTAGTCTGATGTTCACCCAGCTGAAGGACATTCTACGTGGCAGCTGGGTTAGCAATGCACTCTTTCTTTACAATGCATTTTAATTGTTTTTCCTGAGTGTGTGCACTGCTGCTCACTTAGAAAATGAGAGTCAGCCTAAACGTCTAGGCATCCACTGTGAGCCTTCTTTAATTACTGTGTGTGACTGAACTAAAAATTTTTTAAAGGGAGATGAAATTGGGCACAAGAGGTTATTTTTCTAAAACTTTTAAAATAGACACATAAAATGGTACATATTAATGGGGTGTACTGTGATATATACATACATATATATATATATATATATATATATATATATACCCATGGATATATTGTATGATATTTAAATTAGGATAAGCATATCTATCTTCTGAAACAGTTATCATTTCTTTATGGTGAAAATATTCAAAATCCTTTCTTTCAGCCTTTTGGAAATATATATATCATTATCTATGGTCACCTTACTGTGCAACAGCATACCAGAACTTATTTCTCCTAATAATAGCTTTGTACCTACTCATTAACCTATTCCCACATCTCCCTCCCCACTACTCTCCTCAACTTCTGGTACCCACCATTCTATCCTCAGCTTCTATTAGGTCAAGTTTTTTTTTGGATTTCACATTATGAGTGAACTTATGTTGTACTTGTCTTTCTTTTCTGTTCCTGATGCTTTTGTCTTCTTGATATTTCAGAATTTGAGGCTGAATGCATATTGAAATTGATAGTTCTCACCATTTTCTGCAACAACTCAAGTTCTAGTTTATTACAATGAGATATTTTACATCAAGCAACTAATTAGAAAAACAATAATATTCATTATTATTTTGTTAAAATTATCAAGAAAGGTATGTTAAATTAGAGAGTTTTTTTCCAGTTTTACATAGAATCAAAGTAGTTAAGATTTTTAAGAATTCTAATTTAAGTCATAAAGATGTTAAAGGAAATGAATTAGTTTCTTTATTTTCACAGGAAAGTTTTAAAGGTTAGGGAAAAAAATGGCCAAGAGTTTGCTACACACTACAGTTAGTTAATATGAAAAATTTAGCAGACATAAAAAATCAGGTAGGTATTGCTCTCAATTTTTCTAGGAAAATTCCCATGATTTAAATTCATCATGCAGTTTCTTCAGTTCTTGACTGGGTTGTATCACTGTGGCTGAAAAAGCATAGGGAACATTCTGGCAAATATATTGATCAAATGTTTGCTTAAATGTGACATATTAGTGTATTAGCTTGGAGAATGTTGTTTCATTTTTGCAGTCTTTATCGCCAAAGCCACCTAGGGATCCACTATTTCCTAGATATGATGTTTATGTTATCGATTTGCCCTTTCTTTATAGAGTTTGGGAGACATTTAGCCTCATACTGTGAATAGAGAGGAAGCCCAAGAACAGTTTGTGCACTGTGTCTATAACAAATATGAGAAATCTTGACTTGCTCAAATATTAAAAACCTGCAGGAAGCCTGTCAAAAAAAGCATTGCAAAACAAGAAAAGGCAGTTTAGGAATGAGAGCAAACATCTAATAATGATCTACTTCTGATCCAGAAGAAAATTTCTAAAAATTGCCATCATCCTTAGAGTTTAAAAAGACATGACACTCTGAAAATATAGCAAATGGTGGTGAAAATACAAATTTTTCAAAGTGGAAAAAAAAACCCAAAAAAATTGAAATACAAGCACGTGAACTCACACTGCTGGAGAGATGGTAAATGGTATAATCATTTTGAAGAGTGTTTTACAGTTTCTTATAAGGTTAAATATACATCTACATATAACCCAGGAATTTCACTCTTGGATATTTATCCTGGAGAAATGAACAAACATGTTTCCAAAAAGAGTTGTATAAGAATGTTTATACCTGCTGTATTCATAAAAGCTGCCACTTTGAAATAATCCAAGCATCTGTCAACAGGAGGATAGATAAAAGCAAACTGTGGTATATTCACATAATGGAATATTACTCAGAAGTTAAAAAACAATTTACTTATACATACAAAACATGAGTACATCTCAAAAATATCTTAAGTGAAAAAAAAGATAAAACAAGCATATACTGTATGATTTTATATGTATAAAATCCAGGGACTAACAGAACTAACCTGTGTTCACAGAAATCAGGAAGTGGTCCTAAGTGTTGGAGGTGATATTAGGAAAATTAACTAGAAAAGGCCATAGGGAATTTGCTGGAGTAGTGGAAATGATTGATATCTTGGGTTTTTTTTTTTGGAAAGGTAGTTAAAACTGTGTATAACTGTTAATATTTATTGAACTGGATATCCAAGTACTATACATTTTATAATATCTTAATTATATCTCTATTAAAGCAAGAACAAACCAATTATGTAGGTGGATATAAGAAACAGAATTGTTGCAAAAAACAAATTCAGTGATGTGGGGAATAAAATGGAGTAAAGATCAGAAGAGGGTGTTAGAGGATGATCCATGAGGAGGGCAGAAGGCATAGTGCCAACATAGGGGCCTTCTGATGGAGGTCCTGGAGTCAATAGAACAAATAATGGAGCTTAAAGGATATATTTTTTTTGAGCTTAAGAAGGAGCTATGTTGTAAGTGCTTGCCCCATTTTATGTTAAATTATACCTGAGCATGTTGTTGCACAATATTTTAATTACAAAGAACAAAAACACTTCCCAGAAACATTGATGTAGGGTGAAAAATTCAGTTGTCAACAAAACAATTAAAACAATTTTCATTCAAATGTTTTTTGCTTGCACACACAAAACCAAAGTCAAAAACGAATATGGGGGTGAAGCAGTCATTAGCTGAAAATATTATATCTGGCGAATTCTTCTTCATATATGAAGGCAACAAAATTCTCAGCTGAACAAAGCTGAGAAATCTCTCTGAATACCTTGAAAAAAATAACTAGAAAATCTATACCATTTATTTATTGGTGGGCCAAAATGAAGTGCCATTATGTGGGAAAGAAATAGAACAATGTGCATATTAAGAACAACTGGGTCCAATTTCTCTGCCACTGGCTGGCGAGGCTAGCCACCTTGACCTAGTGGCAAGTTACCTTGTCACTGAGCTTTAGTATTTGTCTCTAAAATGGAGTTGATGATAGTAGACACCTTGTAAGACTGCTTTGAGGAAAAATAAAGTTAATATGTGATCTTCCTAGAAAGATTCTTGACATAGACTAACAATTAAATACTTGTTGACTAGTATTAGGTAAAAAATCTATACCATTTATTTACTGGTGGGCCAAAATGAAGTGCCATTATGTGAGAAAGAAATAGAACAATAAAATTTAAAGTAAAGCTGTTATCAGTTAAAGTAGAAATAAGATTAAAATGTGGAAATGATTTAAAAAAAATAAAAGCAAAAGCCCAAAATTCATCTCAACGTGTATAATGTTAAAAGTAATGTATATTAAAAAACTATCAGAATGGCAACATAACTCAGAAAAAGGCTCCTGGGTCCTGAATATATACTTGTTTTTGAAACTGAATGTCAGATCCTTCAGTTTTGATTTTATATTTTCTTTATATGATTTGTATGTCTTCAATGTTATAGAAATTTAAATAATATATGCTCTGCAAGAAATAACTTCCTAAGTACTAAAAATTCTTCTGTCTTCTGATTTTGTTAACAAAACCCAAGTTGTAGTGTCTGTGTAAGATGTACTTGGCAAGTGGCAGCCAAATTATAAGTGTATAAAACTTCTCGTCTCAGAAAAAAGTGAGTTGCATATCATATTTTGATTTTGACTTTGCAATATAAAAATGCAGGTTGTGTGGCCTTTATCCAAAATATTTGGGAACAGAAGTATTTTGGATTTCAGATTTTTTAAAAATTGGAAATATTTGCATATGTGTAATGAAATACCTTGGGTAAGGGATCCAAATCTAAACACAAAATTTATTTATGTTTCATATATAATTTATATACATAGACTGAATGTAATTTTAGACACTATTTTTGGTGTTCCTGCATTTTGGAGAGCAGCTCATCTCATGAGGTCAGGTGTGGAATTTTCCACTGTGGTGTCATCACGTTTTGGAGCATTTGAAATTTTAGATCTTTTGATTAGGAATGCTCAACCTATATTAAAGATAACTACTGGCAGAATTATGTGGAATGCCTCCTGTCTAAAATAGGAAGGATGCTTGGAAGTCAAAGCAAACATAGTAGATAACCCCAAAACAGTAATCTGAAAGAAAAATTTGAAAGTATACAACAAATTTACATAAACAATACATATAAATTCATTAAAATGAATGACCTGCATGTAGCAGTGTCTCATTTTGCAGTGATGATTGCCCATCCTGACTTGGTTTTTTCCAGTACTCCCAAAGCACTCGTTCTTTGATCTCCTTGTGGAACCCAATCCAGATTCCATTCTTTCTCAAGACCCATTATTGCCTCCCTGATTTACCCTGCTTGGATGCCTGTGGACATCACTGGAAAAATGGCTTCTGATCCCTCTTTGTGTTCACTTTGCAAAAGCCCAGGCTTTGATTCTTTTGTTGTTCCTCTTTCTCAGAGCACATACCTGGGCCTCTGGAAGGTGCTGAAGAAGCATCTCCAATGGTACAGTGCTTGCCTAGCGCGCCTGAGGCCCTGAATGTGGTCCCCATCATTGCAAAATAAAAATAAGACAAAAAAGTCACATCATAAATATATACAACTTTTGCCCATCAATTTAAAAAATAAATAAAATATACAGATTCCTGAGTTTAATCTTGATAGATAGCTCCTGAGTGAGCAGTTTCACAATGGGGTTTCAAGAGATCTGTCTAGAAGTTGACAAAGAGCCAGGTTTGGGAACCTCAGCTCTGCAGCATATTAAGAACTATGTGCATATTACTATGTGCATATTAAGAACAAGCTGGGTCCAATTTCTCTGCCACTGGCTGGCGAGGCTAGCCACCTTGACCTAGTGGCAAGTTACCTTGTCACTGTGCTTTAGTATTTGTCTCTAAAATGGAGTTGATGATGGTAGACACCTTGTAAGAGTGCTTTGAGGAAAAATAAGTAAATATGTGATCTTCTTAGAAAGATTCTTGACATAGACTAACAATTGAATACTATTTGACTAGTATTAGGTATTTGGCATTGATTTTCTTCATTTGAAATTAATTAATTTATTTCCAATTAACATGTAATGTACAAAATTGAAGAGTACTGTCTATTAACATGGATGAATAAGTTAAATGGATATAATAAAACTTTTCAGGGGAATTGAGTGATCCTTTGGAAATACTGTTCTGGTGAAAGAAAAGCATTTTCTAAAAAAAATTCCTTACAAGTTTACCTAAGGACAAATAAGACAGTTGAACATGAAATTGAGCTGCAATCTATAATTACTATTAAATAGGCAATTACTTTTGATCTTTGCAGTATATATAGGCATTAACAATTATATATGTCTACCTAGAAATGACAGAAGGAACCCTTAAGATATAAAGTGTATTTTATTAGTTATAAATGTATTTTACTCTAATAAAACTTGCTAACTCGCTTGACATTTATATGAACTCACTTAAAAACTTCTATATATGTTTCTTTCAAAGATAGTGTTTCAATTGAATTATGATTAGAGATTTCATTTAAACCACTAAAAATCTTTTTCCTCATTTAATGATGCCAACCAATATATAAAGCTAACTGAATCATCATTGCTTGTTTATTATACTAATTTCCCAAAATATATGTTTATTCTAACACTCTTTCTGCCAAATTATCTTAAAGAAGTAACTTTATTTAATTTCCTAAAGTTCTCATCTGGACTAGCATAAAGTTAGGACGAGGTTTTTGAATATAAAACTGTGAACTTGTTTTAAATCACATATAAATCATCTTTACAACTATGCAGGTATATTTGAACAGTTTTTGTGAGAGTTCAGAGAATATTCAGAGATGTTTCTGTTACCTTTATTAATAATTTGGGTATCGAAATGGGCTGAACTGTGGCCCCAAATGTCTACCAAAACCTATAAATATGATCTTATAAAGGTCTTTATAGATGTAATTAAGGTAAAGATCTCAAGATGAAGTCATTCTGAAGTGCAGTGGGTCCTAAATCCAATGATCAGTGCAGAAAAGGAGAGAGACAGAAAACAGAGGGAGGAGGACCATTTGAAGGTGGAGGCAGAGACTGGAGTTCTACTGCTGTAAACCAAAATGCCAGGAGCCACCATAAACTGGAAAAAGCAAGCAATGATTCTTCCCTAGAGCTTCTGTAGGTGTAACAGCCCTGCCAACACTGTGATTTCAGACTTTTGAACTCTGAAACTACGAGAGAAGAAATTTCTGCTGTGCTAAGCCATAAAATATGTGGCAGTTTGTGACAGTGGCTCCAGGAACCTAATAGAAAATTCTAATTCTTATCAATGTTGATTTGCCTCTCTATAGATAAGACTTTTCTTTAAGGGTATTAAAGATGGACTATATCACTCAAAACAAAAGACAACCTTGTGTATCTATTATTTCGTTTATCCTCATAAAGTTACTGTCTGGACTTTGTTTTGCCTACCACAGATGTGGCTGGTGGTTATTCCTCATCCATGCTTGATGCCATCAGAAGAGCAGTGATGGTTTCCAATATCCTTTTAATTAATAAGGTAAATGAGAAAAGTCTCAGCCTCAGAGAAGTCTTCAGACTAGCCACTCTTGGAGGAAGCCAAGGTAATGACTATTTTATTTCTCTCTCACACAATATACAACCATGTTAATTTGTGTCCTTGAATGGAGTGTGAAGGTACATGATATGAAATCAGGGGAATCTAATACACATACTGTCGAATCCCATGGGGCATAGCCAGCTTATAGCCAGCAAAGTATATGTTCAGGTATATGGCAGAGAAATCAGTTTTTCGATGAGTTCACTATCTGGCAGAATAGATGTTTGATACACAATTGTCATAAATTATGATAAATTGGTCACTTTAGTGGATATTTGCATTGGCCACATGCATTCTGGTTCTTTAAAATAATCCATTGTTCCATTGAGTCAAGTACTTGCTTCTCTTGGCCTGAGTAATAATAGTAACCATATACTACTAATAATAACCATATACTAATCCATAGCCAAGACTTGCTGAGCTCAGACCCATGACTGGCACCATGCAACACACCTTACTATGTTATTATTGTACCTTCATAGCCACTGCTATTAATTCCATTTTATTAACAAAGAAATTGTGCAGGTTTACACAGCTGTCAAACTACAACATGCCATGATTGAATCCAGAAAATCGAATGCCAAATTTCAGATACTTGCTTCTACTCTCCACTATATCTGCTTATAATAATTCCCACCAAGACCATGTGCTTGATTTATATATTTAAGTATGCTAATTACTCAAAGTCTCTTTAAGAGGAAAAAGATGTAAAAAAATAGTTTGTTGATATACAAATATTCATTAGTTTTTCTTGGTTCTCATGTGTAACTATATTTTTATGAAAAAATAGAAATCATAATTTAAGTCACTTTAGAAATATAGTGTAATTTGAGTGGATGATAATGAAAATAGCATAAAGCAGAGATACACAGAAATTAAAATATATAGATAAGGATTTAGAGATATAGATTTACAATAGATTCCCCCAGCTTTAGACATGGATGGAGATCAAGGCCAGGAGGAGTACCCTGGGAAGAGCAATTTCTCAGTACTTCTTTGAAGGTTCGGTTACTATAATGAGTGCCCTAAAGAACATTTTAAGAAAAACAAGTAGTGGTTCTCTTCTTTGCAGTGCTTTAAGCCTTGAGGTTTCATGTTCTAAAATTCCCAGTTTCAAGCCACCCATTCTTTTAAACGTGACACCCTCTCACCAGCACCGTCATTGTATTTGCACATCTGAGTTTGAGTTATTCTACCATCTATTTTCATGGTACAAATAAGCTGAATTTAAGTGGTGCCTGTTTTACTCTAGGCTCTCTGTGATTGCCCCATCAGGATCCTGTTCTAATTAAGCCATCATGGAATGCCTACCAAATCCTTTCTGCCGCACAGTGTAGCTTTTAAAACTGTGTTTCTGGGCCACTGGGCTTACTGTTACAGAATTTCTTCTCCTTAGCTTGTGTCTCTA